CACCATTTTATGGGATAAAGTCACACAACATCCAGCACCACACCAGGACCCTGAGGGGCTCATTATAATTCGACAGAGTCTAGCTCTTCCTGCAGGATTCTACAGTCTTTGTTTGAACACAATGGCATGTAACAACAAACTGAATTGCTGAAAAGGATTTAAAGGTGGGGGCAACATTAGAATAATACTAGCAGCATGAACTACAGTGAGCAAACTGAAGTCGTTCCTTTCCTTCCAGCCTGTGTGAGCCTGGAGGAGCCGGAGCACAAATGAGAGCTTCCAGAGGCTGATAAGTCATACATTCTCCTCCTTGCGAGTGTGGACTGTGGGTAGGAAGAGGAAAACTGTAGCCAGACTTGCAACACTAGAATGAAGCTAGGAGACGTTTGTAAGGAACAGCTCTGGAGAGTCTCTGGAAGTGACGGGGCTCCGGTGGCATCTACAGCTAGAAAAGCAGGGAGAGGAGGCAGGCAGGGCTATGCTCCACCTGCATTCACAGCTACGCTTCGTGGCCTCAACATGCACAGCAGCAACTGACTGACCCTAAAGAGGCCAAGTCACTAGGTCTTTAGCAACAGCCACCACTTGAGGAAAGACTGTGTCTGCAGCAATCTGGGGGGTACTAGTGCGATTCTGCCAGCACCCAGGTCGAGTCACCAAGGCGCGCAGATTCCAGCCTGCAGGCTGAAGATGCAGACCTGGCACTGTGCGCTGGCGCACTTTTCCCCTTTTCTCCCTTAAAGTGTCCACACTCTGAGGTCCCCGCCGAGGGTGGAAGTAGCCGGGGCAGCCTCGTGCTCCCGGGCAGAGCAGGCCGCAGGCTCCAAGGCAGGGCTCAGCGGGCTGCGTGCCCAGGCCGGCAGGTGCCCCGTGAAGTGCAGACTCCTGGGCTGCGGCCCCCAGCCCTGCACCGGAGCCTTTTTGGGTGTGAGGGTGGGGCGGGTTCCAGGCCAAAGCACAGGAACCTGCACTTGTCACCTGCACTTATCACCCCCCTCCCACGGTGGGTCGGGCAAAGGCAACTCACACACCATGCCACACGGGCTAAACTTTAAGAGATGCAAAATTATTTCCTGGAAATAAACATCGTTCCGGCTTTTGAAAGGTAACGGGCTTCTAAGAAGAGCCCAAGGTGAGGAGCGCAAGCCTGTTACAGAACCAGAAAGTCCCTGTGCCGGCCTTCTGGAAACTGCTCTGGAATCCTGCAGCGGCAGCTTCTAGCGCAGGACTGGAATCAGAGCCAGGCTGTGGAACTTTCCGGTCGCCTTTGTTTACCTGCTTGACTAAAGGTGTGCTCCCGGGAGGCGAGCACTTGGGCGGACAGAGACATTTTTAAATATTTTCAACATTATCTAGCCCTCTCAATATATGTGTATTGCACCCTCAATCAACGCCCTTTAATTCTGGACGAAGCCCACCTCGGCTCCTTTAAAACACGCTCTGGCTGCTGCGGCGGGAGCCTCCCCGGTGGGGACAGCACCCCCTGGCACTAATGTTCCAACGTTTGGGGGGAATCGACAGCTGCCACTGAGGCTCCACCAGCGCCCCGAGGAAAGGCAGACGCCCAGGTAACAGCTCTGACAGATTACTTGGCCGGGGAAATCAAGCCCTGGGGTGTTCCAGCCTCTCTTCGGCCTATAAACCTGTTTGGAAAACCTGCTTCTCAGAATTTATTAAAGCTTTAGCTCAATCGAGGTCAGCATTATAGTAATGTCGATAATTCTCAGCTTCCAGGCACACCAGTACAATTCATCATTAACTTTATTTTCATGGAAAGGCAACTTTGGGGGGGAAACAGCTCTAACTTAAGCTGTTTTATTGTGATTTTCTTTCCCTTAAGAAATAGTTCTGCCAATATCATTTCCTTAGGATTTTGCGCTAAGCTTTAGCGCCCTCCAGTACCTGAACTGATTCTCCCAATCAGAATGGTGCTGACGAGGCAAGATTTGGGCTGTCATCAGGCTTCCACAGAAAAATCAAATAAGCCGCTGGGGCTGGAAGTAATCTTCAGTAATTGGGACTTGAGGATATGTCCAAATCACTTCTGCCGTTAGCCATTGCTCAAGTGGCATGAGAAGGAGCTGTACTGCCCAATGGAATATTCTGGAAGGGTCCATTTCTTTCTCTTAGGAGCCAAAAGCTGAATGAATAATAAATTACTGTTCCTCCTCCTTTAAACAGACAGCACCGCCTCCAGCCAGCTGTGAGGTGTTAAGGACAACCCTGGGGTACGGACCCCAGTCCTGCACTGGGCTTGGCAGGATTTCAAGCAGCTAGCTGTCCACTCCCTGACAAACAGCCCTCTTTTTCTCTGCAAGCTGAAGAAGGAAAAGAAAGGCCTCACGACTGACACCTCCTCGTCAAGCCCTGCCACTGACATAAGGTGGGACAGCATCGTGATTTCTCCCCGGCAGGGGGACTCTGTATTTAGAAGCCTATGCTCCTAAAGCGTGGCTTTATTAAGGTGGAAACAGCTTCACGCTTTAAGGCTCCTCTCAGTTGCTTTGCTACCAGGGACCTAAAGTGAAACTAGAGGTGCAGGGTGATCTGGATCTCACCGTGTGGCCCTGGAGACTGCTGGGTCCTGTGAGGGACCCAGTGGTCAGGGCAGGGGCTCAGTCCAGCACCGAGAAGGAAGGCTGGGGTGCCCAAGCTCTAAATAAATGCTTGCAGTTTGCAGTTTATGTCAATTTATTCTTCTCCATGGTATGAAAAAAAAAAGGCTTATACTCAACAGAAATTCAGTGACCAGTAGAGGGCAATAAAGTTTACTTTTAAAAAATCCTTCAGTTTAGATCCACTTTCAGACCCAGGCCAGGCCTGGAAGGCTATTTCCTCAGTATTACCTTCAGCCTCTGATTCCACGTGAACTCAGCTTCCAGTGTCATGTATACAATAGGGTTCGATTTCCGCCCCCTCCGTAGAGCCTAGAAGGGGGCGGCCTTGAGGGTGCAGTGGCTGTGTGCCTTGATTCACACACCGCAACACTTGCTATTGGGCTAGGTCCTGGCCTCAGCGAGATCACCAGATGCAAGAGAATTCTTAGAAATCAGAGACTGCGGCAAAAGCCCTAGGTAAGATTTGGGCAGTGATTCTGGTTCTAAGTTTCATGCAGTAGAAAGCAGTGTCACCGGCAGATACCAATGCCATGGAAAAGAGTCATCCCAACACAAATGCCCTTCTCGAAGGGGCATCTTGTTCTCCTGTGTTCACTGCAGCACTACTTGCAATCAGCAGGTTACAGAAACAAGCTAAGTGCTCAAGACAAACAGGTGCATCGAGGAGAAGCGGAATATTACACAATGGACTGCAACTCAGCAATCAGAAAAGATGAATGCATGTTATTTGCAACACAAGGATGGAGCTGGGAGGGATACTACTAAGCTGAGTAAGTGAGAAGGAGAAAGACAAATGCCAGACGGTGTCACTTGTATATGGAATAGACAGAAACCAGACACAGTGTCAGATCAAGCCGGACTCAAAGATTAATCCTTGAAAGCAGACTGCAGAGCTGAGACCTCACGGGGGAGGGGCAGGAAGGGGCGAGCACCCGGGGGAGGGAGCACAGGGACTGTGGTGGTGGACCTGGGCGCTCTGGTGTTGGGATCACTGGGGTAACAGCATCAGGAGGGGGCGATTCTGTACTGACGAAACACAAACACCTGAGTAAACCAATCCTGCCACCATGAAACAGAGAATCACCCTAACACGCCCGTGTACACTCACATTTAGGATCAGATGAAAATGCAAAACGCAGTTATCGCTACATGCCGAAACAGCGCGGGTTTTGATTTTACACATGCTTTCTTCCAGATTTGGACTTAAAGCGAATGGACATTTCTGCTAGACTAGAAAAATGACTACTCTGTAGCAGCCCCCTCCCCAGCCAGGAAGGTAGGCACCTGGGACCACCCCAACTCCACCAGGCCGGCCTTGTCTTCGCCAGCCCCCCCTGCCCCCAGGTGTGGAGGGGGCACGGGGCTTGCCCTGACTCGGTGACACCCCACTGTGGCCAGGGGCCCCATGCAGCCTCATGGACTGCTTGAACCTTGCAGGAGCAGCAAGCGCGATCACCTGAAGTGGGGGGCTCGTCTTTCCCATTTCTTTTTTTGATATTGCGTTATTCTAGTTCTGCAGAGCCCTGAATTTTCTCCCATGTTATTTTTAGTCCTCTTCGCAGGTGAAGGAAAAAAAAAAGAAAAGTCAATCAGGGTTTCTGGCATGTCAGCTTTTCATAAAGAGAACGCAAAGTGGAGCTCCCAGCAAGCCCCATCAAACACGGGATTTATGTGAGGCCTTTCATCTGCCCCCAGTTAAAATGTTCCCTGCCAGGCAGCTGGGAGTGGGCTCAACCGTCATTTGAAAGGCCTTACTTTAAGGACTGGATACAGTGGCTCAAATGCTGCTTCAGTTCTTCTTCCTTTTCGTAGGACTCCAGCACACCATGGGCTTCGTCGTGGTGATAGCAGTAGATTTTATAAATGTCTTCCAGCGGCCCTTTCATCCGCAAGAAGACTTCCCCTGGTAAATGCAAAACAAAAGGAAAATGACATCAGGTGAGACCCTGCTGGTGTTTCACAAGCTCGTAATTTGACAGTGAGGCAGAGCAGCATGAATAAGTTGCATGGGGGTCTGAATCTCAGAGGATGTCCTAAACGCTAGAGGGAGAAAAAATGGGGTGGGCCCCTTAACCCAGGTTATCCTGGAAAGGGCAAACAGCCAGTGACTTCACCCCGCTTCATCTCCATCCCATCTACTTGCTCTTTCCCTTCTCTAATAAGCCATGAAGAGATTAACAGGGAGACAAGCAGAGCAGGAAAGCTGGCTTTCTCAGAGGTGACAATCCGTGGCTGGTGGCAGGCCCTAGCCACTGCTGGCCTGTGGGGACACGGCCCAGGCTGTGCTACCTGTTCAGAGGCTACCTGACATGCCTCTGAACCTGTTTCCTCAACTGTGAACTTGGGAGAAGCTCCAGCCCCATAGGATCACTGTAAAATGAAAAAGGTGATGTGCAGAAAGTTTTGTGAACAGGGCACACACAGTAAATACTCAAAACTACAACAGCTGTTAATTTGCTAAAGGTATGGATGGGATAAAGTACATTGCTTCATTGGTTTTTATTCCACTGACATGACCAGAGATTCTCTGAAAGGAAAGCAACAGAACTTAGAGAAATAACACGCTTTCTGCATGTTATGATATAAAGAAATGGCTAGCATTCCTCTTAACAATCAATTTGATGGCATCAGGAATCAGGATTATGGCTGTGTCTTCAAAAGCAATGCGGGCTAATTGTAAAAGCACTCACTGCGATGATACAGTTGGGCCTTTCACGGAGGGCGCTGCATGAAGGTGTGATGTAACCACTCCGTCCACCACTGCATGATGTGCTCTAAGCATCCACGGCCATTTGGGTGGTTGGGGAGACACAGGAGAGATGCGATGACTGCTCTCCATACCTCTCAGCTTTGGAATTGCTGATGGCCCGAAGCTGAGTTGATTAGGAGCGACATGGACCTACTACTGATCTGGACCCATCACGGTCCCTCCTTCTACAGAAACAGAGGCGCCTTTGTAACCTGCATAAGCCTTGCACAAGACTGCTTAACTCCCTCCATATGCAGAGATAAGAGGATTCTTTTTTTTTTTATTCCTGTAAAGTAAGGATGGGTAAATCAAGTTAAAAACAAGGTTTTCCCATGCTTCTGTCAGGAGGTGGTAGAACTGTGGTGGTCAGCTTTCTGCTGTCCCACCAGGAGAACAGCCAGTGGGCTTGTGATGGGGAAACAAATGGGATAAAGCTGCCTCATTTTAAATGAGAAGAAAAACCCCAGCTTTTAAATTGACAAATTGTGGTACAGAGCACAGGCCCAGAGGAGGGTCCACTGTCTGTGCCATGACCTTTCAAAGCCTGCACCAAAAATGCCACGGCAGACAACCCAAGTACCACTTGCAGAGGGTATTTTCAGTCTGTGGCAATTCTGGACCCAAAGCAGTGTGACAACAAGAGTCAGCAGAAAATCGCCCATCAGACCCTGGATTCCCCCCACTTGCATTTCCCCTATTTGCTGCTGGACCTGTCAGCACTGCCCACAGTCCCTTCCTCGGGAGACCATCTGAGCCTGGCCGCCAACCCTGTGACCTTGCACTAAGCCAATTCTTTTCCTGAGAGCCGGTGGTGTGGTTTGGCTTCGGTGCCACTGGGCAGTGGGCCCACATCTGGCAGCTGGAAGAGACCTCACTCTCCTAGCTTGGCTGAACACGGTGCAAAGAGATACAGAAATCACTGTTTGTGAATCACCTTTAAAAAAAATCTGTACAGTGGAAATAACAGCACCTCCCAGGATGTTTTGAGAATTAAATGGCAGATGTGAAAAATGCCTGGCACTGGCTGCTCAGTGAAACGCCACCACTCTGGCGGGCTCTACTCTCGCTAGGATGAGAACGCCAGGACTCGCACAGATCACACTCTCTTCTGATTCACACCCAGCAGTCTTGCCTTTTCACTATGCGAGGTTTCCCTGTGAGTGTGTTTAGACTGTGTGTCGACTGCTTTTTAATTGGATTTATTTTTGATCTTGAAGGAAACCCATGACTGCCAGTGTCCTTGCAACTGAAGGGAAGCGGAAGTCCCGTGCTGGCCTGGGACTTCCCCGAGCCGGTGACGTTCACAGTGAGCCCAGCCACACAACAGGGAGGGACAGAGGGGCCGCAGGAGGAGAGAGAAAAACAGGATCATGACTAAGGCACAAGCATCAGGCAAGCGGCCTCCAGTCTCAGTGCCAGCTGCCAGCGGGAGGAAGGGCCTGGCGGGGAGGGCATGAAGGCCGTCCTACGAGAGCCCAGGCTGTGTGGACACACACCGTCCAACAAGAGGGAAGCATAAACACGTGTGTCCACCAGAAAGCAGCTAGAGGAAAGACAGAGCATGAGGTCAGCCCTGTGAACTCAGTCGGGTCAGATCAGAAAGGCCAAACGCCAGTGACAAAGGTGAGCAGTTTACAAGTCAAACTACTCATTGTCAATGCCCGCATTTATTTTCTTGACTAGAAACAGTCTGGTCGGAAACAATTTGTCGCTCTCCCTTTAACTGCAGAATCAAATGATTTTTACTCTTTTCCAAGTAAAATTCTGTTGGGTTCTAATGATAATTGAAGCCACAAGCTCCTTAAGCACTCCAACTGAAGTCACTCATGCGCCCAAAGGCCAAGCACCACACGAATGGGAGAATGTTCCATCTCCCTCCCAGCCCCACTAATGTATTGGCTTCATAATAGCACAGATGAAGAGATGTGTCTTGCAGGAGAAAGTGATTCTGTTTCCACGGTAACATAACTCTGGGCTGCGTTTCTTGAGTGACGAAGGACAGCTGCTCTGTCTCATGTGTGCAGGTTTGAACGGATGATGAGCAGTGCAGCAGGGACTGAGCCCAGACCAGTGGGGGAAATTTCACCTCTGGCCACCTGTCACAAAGGTGCCAGAATCCTATAAAATAAACATAACTTCTGTGTGCTTCTTTTTAAAATTTCTATCATCCAAGAATTTCTGCATTGACGTCACCAAAGCAGCTGCCATGCAAAGGAGGGGGAAAAGGCATCCTTGTTTTCCCTCAGTGATCTCATCTACAAACAGCTTAAAAACTACCAAATGTGGCTTATATTCATATTATCAATGCTCCTACTTTGAAAATTGTTGCTTTCACTAATGCAAATACTCTCATGTTTCTCTTCTGTACCCCCAGTTCCTGAGCTGGACCCCACCAAAAAACATGGTGGCCTCTGCATAATTCTGACCTTGGTCCAAGATGAATTTCTCCTGTGGACACTTAAAGCAGGTTAAACCAATGTTATTTAAGAGCTCTCTTTGTCTGAGATCTTGTTTAGGAAATGACATAAAAAGAAGTGAAGTAGTTAGAGTCTACGCTTCCTCTTTTTCTGGCAATAATGTAATGACATTCAGGAATTCAGCTTAATAAATGATCAGTATTCATCTAGTTTGCACAGGTACTGCGGACAGGAAGAACACTTCTTTCTAGAATCTTCCATAGGTTGGTAAGGGAGTGAGAAGGGCACGCTCCCAGGTACTAAACTATGTGAACAGTGGGATGACAGAGCTATAAAGTGCAGAGTCAAACCTGAGGTGCTCTTAAGGGCCTGGAAAGAGAGCTTAGGAGCGAGTGTGAAAGCACAGACACATGCAGGGAATGAGGTGGGTCCAGAGCTGCAGGGGGTCGTGTCCACATCTGCAGGGAAGACCTACAAGAGATGGTGCTGGCGGCAGGGACCAGACTGCAAAGGGTCTGGATATCCCCAAGGAGTCGAACTTGGGTCTGAGGGGATAGAGAGCACCAATGCATTTTAGGCAGTGTGTTTCAGAAAGATCAGTCGCATGAAAAATGGCATTTGGAGGGGAAATTAGTGAGACTGGAAAGGGAATACAATGGAATAATAACCCGATAGCCCAAGAACTACCTGAATTATAAAAACAGGAAGTCACACAGTTAAGAGGGAAAGTTCTAGATTCAGTTTGCCCGGTTTCAATAAGATTTTATAACTTGGCCAAGATCACACATCTAGAATTGGACAGCCAACCTGGTATTTAACTCCGCATGCACATCTTATTTGTTTCACCTTTACTCACTGATATCTCACTACAGAATGTTCCTCAATTGAAGAGAAAACAAGAGCTACCTCTCCAAAGATTCAGAACCCACTTCCTAACTAGACAGACTACTAAAGTCAAGATAGCGCAGATCACTTCCCAGAGCTCTCAGATCTACACACACAAATCTCTGCGCTTAATAACCACACTGTTATTATTGAGCAAAATTCCTCTACAGCTTTATCTAAGTATCAGGAAAGCCACCTCTCTGGCACATGGATCATGTGCTGTGGATCATGACAGCTTAATCATGCCATATAAGGACAAAGAAGTGGGATGCCTGGACTTCTCATTCTGTGATAACAGGGAATGTAGCCCCAGGTGAGTTTATCTTATAAAAGGTAAACTCCACTTGGTGAAAGATTTAGTGATGGAAATTGCCAGTCAAGTCTACTGATGCTACCACGCGTGGCCCCACCATTCTCAGCCATGTAAACTGCTGTCCTTAGGAAGAGCTTCCTCCACTCTCCAGCTGGAGGCACTATGCCATGTGCCATTTAGAAAGGCTTTTGCTCCAACTTCCACCTTTCTAAATTCTTCAAGGCCACACTCAAAAATCCACCCTCAGATCAAGTTTTCCCTCATCATCTGGATTGAACTGACTAATCTCTTTTCTGCAAACCTGTATTCATCAGCTGGCGCTGCAGAAAACAAAACAAAACAAAAAACAAAAAAACACTCCCAAACTTTAAGGCTTAAAACAAGGCTGTCAGCAGGGGCAGGGCTCAGCTGGGGGTTTGTGTCCATGTGTGTAGATGGGCTTGTCATAGTCTGTAGTCAGACTGTAGTCTGAGTCAGTGTGTCCATGTGTGTAGATGGACTTGTCATAGTCTGTAGTCAGTGAGCGGGGGCCACCTGGC